GGGACCGGACTTCATGAGTAGTGTCATATGAGGCTTAGAATCAGGTCAGGGTGTGTTTCGGGTTACAAAGGATATACGGCCTCAGGCTGCGCATAGTGGATGGTGGAAACCATTCGGCCCTACCCCGCTAAGTAGGCCGTAAACCCGAGTATCATAAAGACCCCTTAATCCTAAACAGGGTTTAGGGTCTAGCTTGCATGCACTTATAGTAAGCCCCAAACCCTAAACCGTAAACCCTAAACCCTAAACCCTAAACCCTAAAACTTGGAAACCGGATTAAGGACAAATAGTGCCGGGATTCCTGGTACATTGCTCTTGAGGATTGAGGCTATAGGCTTCCAACTTTTGGCCTTCGAGTACAAGCCGGTCCCGCATAGTCTACTATACCCAGAGAACCCAATACCCCTTAATGAAGGAATATACCTTAAATTATAGGGGCCTTACTATTATGATTTAAGGTATATTCCTTAAATTGGGCTCTCTGGGTACCTCATAAAGGCAAGTTTCCCTTGGCAGGGCGTGGCGACTTGCTGAGGTAGGGTTTTCAGTTTTGGCACCGACTGACAGTCATATTTCCATGTGTTCCTCTGTTGTTGCATCCCCTAAACCCTACACCCTAAACCCTAAACCCAGTTTCTTGGAGCTGGCGACTGTAAACCTTTTCCAGAGCCGAAAGAAACAGGAAAATGGTGTTGCAGCCTAGAGTTCAGGTTTGCTGGGTCCTTGTTGAGAAAATGCACATGTATTTAAATTTTGCTGGCAAGATCCTTTTTGTTCGGGTTTTGGATTTTTTAAAGGACCAACCCAATCCAAAGCTGTTCGCTCATGAATTCACCAGCAGGGCCAAGTTGCTTACCCTTGTCTCTCAAGTTCATGTACCCAAGGCCCGTTCATCTCTAAGCCTAAACTTCCGCAACTCTTCAACGAGCCCATCCCGAAAACCTAAGCAAATCCAGTAAACAAATCCAGGCCTCAACCTCACACTGGGGAGCTGAGGAGAATACAACCAACGGATGGCTACTAGGGACTGCATGTCACCCGACTTCTTACATCCTGTGTGGGGCAAGGCAGGAGCGCAAGGGCGGGCTTGACGTTGGGATTTGGAGCACCGGGTGAGGGTGCAGTTTTTAGAGTCTGGGGCACATTTCAGGCTGAGAGTATGGTCTGGAGTTTTAAACCCTACGCTCCCACCGGACAGTGATGAAGAGACAGAGCTCGATACGAACGGAATCATGACGAACTTTCAGCATCCATATTCCTGCAACAGGAAGCGGCTTAGATATGACTTCTGGAGGATTCCGACAGCATGTCTCTGAATTAGCAAGTCGAAGTGCAGGAGAGAGGGCTAGATCCTTCAAAGTACTCTACTCCCTTGTAGACCCTAGACCCTGAGCTCTAATCAAAACCCGAGCCACCTAAGCCCTACGCCCTAATGCCTACGCCCTAAACCCTAGACCCCTAAACCTCAAACCCTAACCCCCTAAACCCTACGCCCTAAACCCTAGACCCCTAAACCTCAAACCCTAACCCCCAACCCCCAAAAATCCGACGCCCTAAACCCTAAATCCCTTAACCCTAAACCCCTTCACCCTAAACCCCTTACACCCCAAACCCAAACCCCCCCCCAAAAACTCTACGCCCAAACCCCTAAACCCTAAACCCCTTTACCCTAAACCCTAAACCCCTAAACCCCTTAACCCAAAACCCAAACCCCCAAAGACCCTATGCCCTAACCCCTAAACCCCTAAACCCCTAAACCCCAAACCCTAAACTTTAAACCCAAACCCCCCAAAAGTCCTACGCCCAAACCCCTAGACCCGAAACCCCTCAACCCGAAACCTTGGCAGATTTTTGGCGCTGTGCCGGCCTTCGCCCAAGGCGTTGGCTTCGAGTGGCCCGACCGAGAGGTTGGGTTGATCCTTAGGGCTTAGGGTTAAACCCTGAACCCTGAACACTAAACCCTTTAGGGTTTAGGGTCCCTGGGTTTAGGGCTGAGGTTAAGGGTATAGGGTGTAGGGTTAGGGTTTTGGGTTTAGGGTTGGATTTAAGGGTCCCTAAACCCTAAACCCTAAACTTAGAGTTCTGCAGGAGTGCTTGGTTGCAGGTTCCCTCATGGGTTCTACAGGGGTTTAGCGGTCTAAGGGTTTGAGGGTTTAGGCTTTAGGCTCTTTTCCAGAAAGGGTTCCTGTAAGTGCTCTGAAGGTGTTCGAAGCTAGAAGGATTCACTTACATTCCATAGAGGCTTTGTCGGGTTTTTGCGGCTGTAGGGCTTTCAAACTGGGACCCAATCTTAATTCACGGAGAATATAGGGGAGGGGGTTGAGCAGCTCGTAGCCGTAGTCCCTTTTTGTCCCTACAAAATTGTAATCCTAAACCCTAAACCCTAAACCGATATACGTCCAAACACGATTCTGCTAATGCAGGCCACTCTGGCTTGAGGGGGCTTTCAATCAACGAAAAGCCAGGCTTTCAGGGCGTCCGAGAGCCTCTGAGATTTGTGAGGTTTAGTGTTTAGGGTTTAGGGTTTAGGGTTTAGGGTCAGGGGGTTGTGGTTGTTATGGACATGGGGCTTAGATTGTTGGACTAAGCCTTCCGAATGGCAAGAAGGCAGGATTGGAGGATCCATCCGTCTCAGAGATATCGGAGGACACCCACCACCAACATGACCCTAAACCCTAAATAAACCCTAAACCCTAAACCCTAAACCCTAAACCCTAAACCCTAAACCAAAAGCCTAAACC